CTACATTATTTATTGGTAAGTGGAATTTCCAGTAGTTGTTAGCTTGGCCACCACTACCCTTTTTGGGGTCCATATTATAATAAAATACATCGGGATGGCAATGACTGTCGGAGATATTTCAGTCAGGACTTTGGACTAGCCTGCATTTTTTTGCCAGTGCCCACTGCATTGGTGCCCCCAGTGCGCTGCCAGGCTGGCCTCATTCAAATGAATGAGAGGGCTGTGTTTTTTCATGCAGGACTAAAGTTGGTCTGAACGTGGCCTTTGTCTTGTTGAACAACAATGAAGCTCTATGGGACAGAGAAATAATCTATGTCCTGCTTTGGCAACATAGTCAATATGTGTTAGTAGGATCAATTCATGTTGGTTTTGGGATTTGTTGTAAAACTATAGAATATTGCCAGATTCGTCCTTAAAATGCTGTAGGACTTATTCTGCACAAGTATACTCACAGTGTGTGGGTGCGACACCCCTCGATGAATGGGTGTTTATTGTGTCAAACATAATAAACTTTATACTACTTTGTCATGTCATGGAACGCAGACCTGGAGCAGACCTGTCAGTTTCCCAGGGCAGGATTTCAGTGTCAATAATAATAATACTGGTACTCACAGTTCTGCAGCAGTACACAGAAATGTCAAGTATAACTGCTGCTAGGAGTGCCAAAATTGTCTGCCATATACATACATTGTGGAACAATCGGCCTGGGCTTTGGACCAACGAGTGCCTGAAAGTCGCTTACATAGGGATAGATTTGTACTTGAGTTAGTAATTGTTTTGTTCAATCATAAGACACCCTCACCTTCAGAATGAAGAGAGCAGGTGAGACTGAGTAGATGGAGGGCGCCATAGTTGACACCATTCGACTTGAGGCAGAGTGAGAGAAAAGAGTGAAATTTTCTGGCACCTGTTAAGAGCCATTGTTATATAAAGGAGGCTGACAGGAGAGTATTGGGTGATAATTGCTAGCTGTTAAAAATGTGACGGCATCAAACTTCCAGGAATATGACAGGACAATAGTTGAGCCTAAAGCAGAAAATGGAGAGAGCAAAGGTAGGGAACGTGGGGGAGGTGATTGACAGTTTAAAGTGGTGAGCTCCTGTTGAAGTTGGACTGAAATCAATGCAAGAGAAACGTTACCCTTCAGACGGCAGAGCGGTGTAAAAAAGTGGACAGAATATAAAACACAGAAGCCAAGTTCACATACTGAAAGCTGTAGATATGTATTAACAACTAGACAGGTGATGTCTCTGGGCTGATGAAAAACATGTTACATTTGAGCTGCAGCATGTAAAGGACTAACATCAATGCAATATACTGTTGCATGGCAATGAGACGTGATCACTGTGTAGGAACGAGCATTTGTTCAGTGAAAACCTGATGCGATGAATCATTTAACAGAACATTTCATTGACAGCTGTGTGGACTACATTATGGATGACCGTGGGAAATACAGTGGAAAATACTTACAGCTGTTCCCAATAACAGCTGCTATAGTCAACAATTATCTGTTGTCGTCCTTCGCTTTCTCAAAAATGTATAATGAATTCAATAAAGAACGCTCTCAGTTGCATTGGGAGCATTTCTTATTAAAACCAAAGGAACAGAGGCGAGCTTCATGCTCAAATTAATTGTATCCCTCGGCTTTAACGACAAATAGAAAGACTGCTAATGAGCCATTATACAGTATCTGAAAATGAAATATGTGTAACTAGTGGGAAAAGCAACCCAACTTAAGTTCATTTTGTAAATCTGCAGCTTGTTGGAACTCAGCTGTGTGTAATGTCAAGAGCTTGGTCAGCTCTTTGTATATTTGCATGTGTGTTTGTGTGCATCAGACTGTTGTTTGTCACCGTACTTTTACACCCAGAGGACACCCAGTGACAACGGTGAAGTTATGAAAAACCACCAGGACTGTGGCTCCAGGTGGGAACGTGTGCAACTCTTTGTCATGGAAGGCATCGTGGATACAGCAAATATATAGAAATGAATCATAAAAAGAAAGAAACATGCCGACTGGAAGGAAGCCACGTCTGTCCCAGTTCTGTAGCGTTGATTAAACAGGTCAAGGTTGGGGACGCAGTGGTTTCAGTTGCCGTAACAACCCTGCATCGCTTGCTGGCTGCCATGGCGACGCACCAAAGATAGAGTAGTGAAAAATAATTGTTCATTGCTGGGTGGGGTGGGTTGGTGAGTTGGGAGCAAAAAAGACAGGCACAGACTGTCTTCATAATGTAATTAGTCATAGGTGGAGGGGACAGAGAGCAGCACATTCCACTACACAACTAAGTATTGTTTGATTGAGAATGACACGGAGGATTTGTGGCATTTTCAGCTAATGCTAGTTCTTAATTTCTGAAGGACCAATCAGAGGTTTTGCGCTGGTAAAATGGAGGCAAGGGGGAAATTGTGAGACTAAGTCTTAATAGGCTGCAATTAACAATTATTTTCCATTATCCATTATTCTGACAATTATTTTCTCAATTAATCGACTAATTATTTAGTCTAATAAATGTCAGAAAACAGTGAAAGAATGTGCAGTCAAACTTCCCAAAGATGATTTCATCAGATTGCCTGTTTTCTATGATCAACACTCCAAATCCAAAAATAAATATTAATTTGATTATTGAATAAGACAAAGAAAAGCAGCACATTCTCACAATTGAGTAACAGAAATTAGAAATTATTATTTTCTTTTGGCATTTGTGATTGAAAAATGACTGAAATGATCATTCGATCATCGTTTCAGCTCTACTTAATAGTTTAGACAAAAAATACTTTAAAGTTGCTTAAAGCCAGCAGCGTAGCACAAAATTCTGGGCCCTATATATTCAGGCAGTCTCTTTGGGCCCCCTTCCTCTCTTGGTCCCCGTCTCTCACACATCTTTTGAAAAAATGTTTACAAATAATTGAGTTAATAACTGTACACAACTGTAGTGTTGATTAGGGTCAGTAATGAACTGGTTATACTGTATTTAAACATGTAGTAATAATCTGTGAGATGTACTTAAGTCGGCACAGTTTGAAATCTCACCATTTTTCAACCCTGTTTTTCTTAACACACTGTATCCTACAATTACTTTACTATGGTTAAAACATTATTTTCTCCATGTTTAAGCATTTATCATTCCCATGGTATAAGACAAAGCTAAAAATTACCATCTTAGTTGTCATATCCCTACATTGAGAAAATGCTTACCATACTGCATAAAAGACAAATGACAACAAGACTTCTCTAGAGTCGTATTCATTATCATTTGCATAAAGAAGAATTTCAGTACATTTAATCTATCTTTGTGTCTAAGCCCACAGTTTAAGTTTGTGGTGCAAAGGCATGTAGGGCTAAAAGCAAAATAATTATTAGTGTAGATTATTACATATTATTAGAAAGTTTAAAGGTTCAGTGTGTAAGATTTAGTGGCATCTAGTGGTGAGGGTTGTGAATTGCCACCAACTTTCCAGTCTACCACTGCCCCTTACCCTTTCAAAGAGCGTAGGACAGCTACGGTGGCTGACACAGCACAAAAGGTCTCTTCTGAAACAGCAGAGAGTAGACAGTCAAGAAATGAGGTTTCTTTAGGTCTGTTTATTAAAAATTATATTTACTTAATTATTCAGTAAAACCATATGTTATTGTGAGTTGGCCACTGACAGATTACATGGAAAATGTAAGCCAAGAGTGTGAAACACCGTCATTGTTTCTGCACCACAGTCTATTATAAACCACACAATAGATAAAGTTTATACAAACATTGACAAGGGAAACACATTCATTCTCTCTGTGATTATGGACCCTCGCCAAAACTGCCCGCCAACAATAATATCTGGCCCGCGGTCAGATTATGCTTTGATAGCGCCAAAAAATATAAATAAATACTTTGATAGCGGTGCTGAACTAGATCTGTCATGACAGCAACAGTTACTCACATAATCACTTCCTCTTTAGTGGTTTTGCCTACAAAATAAAAGCGCAAGAAGCTTGGTTTCTGTAATGCTGTAGTTGGAGTTGAACTGAGCTTTTACTTTGAAAAATTCTGAATGACCGTAAAAGAGTCTGTGGCCTGCTTGACACACCTCTGAAAGAGCCATCATGTGATTCCCCTAAATGTCCTCTGCCTGGAGATAGTGCGGTATTCCGTAGGTGGATGTATGTTCTAGCCTACAATGCAAATTTGCATGAAGCTAGATTCCTCACCAACTGCCGTCAATCTAAACTGCTGATATTAGCGGAAACCATTCTTTAACTGCAATTAAAGAAGCTGTTGTCCTTTACTTTGCTTTCTTTCTCTTTCCTTTCTTTTTCTTTTTTGGTACCTTGATTTCCCTTTCTTTGGGACAGACTGTCACAAGGCTGTTGATGCTCCAGCATCAGCAGTCACTCTTCGATTAGCCAGTTTACAGATGAATCCTAGTGTGGGGTGGACTAAGCAGGACAGAAATCAGAACAACTTCAGCTAAGCTCATTTACGTCTGTAATCAGTGCTACATTGAAAAATTGCAGTGATGCAAACTTTTGCCACCGACAGCAATTTGTAAATTTCCTCCGCGGATGCATGATCATCTCGTACAGCAGAAAAAAACACAGCAGCTGCCAGATCTGAGAGGAGTTTGTATGGGAGATCTATTTCTCTGCTTAGTATTCTGCCCCGACTCTGTCAATCTGTATCCTGTCAGTCTGCTTCAACATTTCCAATTCAACATAGTGACATTTTGGGATTTATTCAGTGCCAATCAACGTACACACAAACAGGACAGAGCAGAGTTTGTTCCATCTTTTCCCTTGTGATGGATGGCCTGCAAGACAAACGGAGCAAGAGGAGTAAGGGTGGGAAGAAGGATAAATGTGTAAAGGGAAAGGGAGGGGAAAAAAGACAAATAAAAGCAGAAAAAAGAAGATGAAACGAGAATTAAAAAGGAGAGGAGGATTAAATGTCAATATGGTCAATGAGGCTAATGGCAGTAAGTGACATCCTGTCCTTTATCTCTTTCTTTCTCTGCAGGTTTTCCACGGAACAGGAAGCCAGACTTCAGGCCAGACATGGCAGTCAGAAATCCCTGAACAACACACAAACACACAGACATTTGATCATGAAATAAAAACCTGGGAGCAGTGGTTTGTGTCTTAGGGGTCCAGGTTAGCCAGAAACAAACAAACACACACACTTCAAAACTAGTTGTTGTAGCAGCAGAACAATGTAACTTGGATTAGTGTGTGTATGTGTGTATGTGTGTGTGTGTACAGGTGAGTTAAGTAGGTGTTTTTGGGGCATCAGATGAACACGGGCAGGGCAGACAGCTGGCTTAAAGTGGGCACTGTAGGAGTCCTACCCTCAGATTAAAGTTTGGTAGATTAGAGCTAAGCAGCAGTCACCTCAAGCTCACCAGCCTCATGAAACGTACGCTGCCAGCCAACAGGGCGTGAACAAACACACACACATGCACATACACAGCAGCACAGCTGTAGAGCACAATTAAATTAGTGCATCTGGCAGACGAAGTGCAACCTAGCTTAACACCATACACACATTAAATCACAGGCACAAAGAGAACACACTCACACACACACTCTGGGCTGCAGGACAGATGCTGCCCCCACCCTTCCTCCTGTCGTCCTCTCAAAGCCAGCTGGAGAGAAGATGAGATTTGGGGTTGATTGGTTTTGTCTTTTTTTCTATTGAACCCTCTGCACGTCACGCCACCCACCACTTTCGCCTTCACTTTGGTGCAGCTTCATCCCCGGGTGATCATAAGTCATCATAAATATCTTTCCATCAGAAGAAAAGTGGACAATCCACTTTGATTACTTCTCCCAAAGTTATTCTTACTTTCACCTTTTGTCATCTTGAGTGGGCACAGAATGGAGCAGTGAATGGACTTCTTGATTAGTTGTATGCGTATTAGTCGGACCTTGTGAAACTCCTCAACTGTAGAACTGATGTCGTGAAATCTGCTACTCTTAGGGTGTTGAATTTCATTAAGATTTCATTATTCACCACACAGAACTCAAACTTTTTATCCCCAACTTTTTCAAACTTTGTGCCTGAGGAAAGTGTGGAGAGGGACGGCAACAGAGGAGTACTTTAAACTCAACACAAGCGCTATTGATAGAGTAGCTCTCGGAGCCTCAGTGAAACAGGCAGACGCAGACAATGGACTGAAAAGGGTGAAAGGGGAAAGGAGAGACCTTGAGATGGAGAGAGGCGAGATGAACCTCAAGAGAAAGGCAGAAAGAGGACTAACAAAACTGAAGAGAGAATACTGAGAAAACGGCAGATAACAGAGCCAAGAATAGAAGGAGAAAATAGGTATTTTTTTGGTCTAGGGTGGCTAGAGATGTGATGGAACACCCTTCAGGCCAGACCTCCTCCCTTCTACTGCTCCTCCTCCCTCTCCTCCTCCTCCCTTCTTCCCTGCCTCTCTCCGCTGCACTCAACTAGTCTGCCAGCTTTCTCTTGGCTACGTCGCTTCAGTGCAACGAGAGAGACGGAAAAAGAGAGAAAGCAGAGCGCCGGTGCCGAGCTCAACATTCACACAGATGGCAGAAGAAAATGCAAAGGACCTGCTGCATCCGTCCACACTGTGCACTGGAATTCACTGAAGATGGACATTGCAGTTAATCCCAAAAAAGAGGGAGACGAGGGAGAAGAGAGAGAGGTGGGCGTAAAGACAGTGGAAGCCGGGGAAGGGAAAGTTCGAAAGTAAAGGAGGGAATGAACAAACAAGAATAGAAAGGTGGAAAACGCAGAGACGGTGATTGGAGCTGAAGGAGAGTTCACCTCTCATTGAAAACAAAGGACTTCCAAAGCAGTCAGGCTACAGCTGTGTAATTCAGCTGCGACTCCTGTCTGTGTGTGTGTGTGTGTGTGTGTGTGTGTGTGTGTGTGTGTGTGTGTGTGACACGAGCACATAGCTGTGGAGGAGAGAGAGGGAGAGAATCCAGCGGGAGACAGAGGGAAAGCGTAGGAGCATTGCCGAGCGCACAGCTTGACTGTGAGATAAATTGACTCTGACACGCTGTCTTCCATCAGTGAATGTGTGTGTTTACTAGTCCGATATAGTGGGTCATCTTGTGGTCCAAAGTGCCAGTCAGGGGGTCGTCCCAATCACGCTGACCAGGCCCTGGTGGTCGTTGCGTGGAGGCAGCAGCAGCAGCGGAGGTGGTGGTGGTAGTGGTGGGCTGGGAACAGTGGCAGGCCTAGGTGTGGGGGCATGGCCGTGGGGGGGCCGCATCCCGTCCTCCACCCTGCAACGGGACAGGCGCTGGGGCTGGGGCTCCTGGGGCGGGGGCGCATCCAGGGGAGCTCCCAGACTCTCCGAGCTCAGGCCCTGGCTGAGCGGAGGGACGGCCGGGGTCGCAGGAGGTGGAGGTAGCACTGGGGTAGGAGGAGTGGCGGAGAAAGGAGGCAGGGGGAGATGTTCCCGCAGGGTCTGGGTTCTCCTCGGCTCGCTGGTTCTCGTCTTTCTCACCTCGCTCTTCTTCTCCATCTCGCTCCGTGGGGGCGTCAGCTTCAACTACCTCGAGCCGCCTGGGTGGGAGGAGTCGAGGCGGGTGAAGCTAGTGCCCAGCTACGTGGGCGCACACAGGCTGTCACCACCCGACACCCCGCAGCAGAGGACATGTGCCTGCCCACGCTGTGTCGGAGACCCCGGCACCTCTGATTGGTTTGATGAAAACTACGAACCGGACATCTCGCCTGTTTGGACCAGAGACAACATCCAGCTGCCCTCTGATGTCTACTACTGGTGGGTGGTAAGTAACAATATGATTTAACTTTACGTGCTAGAGTTGTGACACCATTATTGTACATTAAGTGTCTAAATGTGACTCCAGTTTGGGTGACAACATCATTTCAGAATTTACACCTGATATGAGGTTGAAGGTCTTGCTAGTTTCTCCAACGTTGCCTACCACTGCTTTCAATACTATGATTGTGGTTGAATTTGCCTTTTCTGAATAAAACTAAAAAAACCTTTACAGGAGACATTTCAATACATTAGCATAGATGACACAGTGAACCTGCAGACTGGTTTTCTGATTTAATATCCCTGCCTTCATTGATATTCATTAAAACACACACAAATAACAGACTAGATTGTTCTTTTTATTATCATCAGTATTCTAAAAAAACATCAAAACTTCAGCAAACAAATTATTGCCAAATTTTAACATTAAGTTTATTATAATCCATGCAGCACCATCTCACACTTTCCGTTTGTGTGCATGGAATAGGGCGGGGGGGGGGGGTTAAGATATTAGGACACCAATATAGGGGGAGTGATACATCATAATCGCAGATCCCTCTCCATCCTCCTCATCCTCCCTCGTCGTTGAGCCAACCAATCCCCTCTTACACGTAGTACATGCTCCTCATGTATCCCTGCCAGTCATATGTCACGGTAGAACATTATGTGATTGGTCACTGGGCTTTTACTACTAAATAATGTCTGAAGAACTGAAATCAATATGTCTCCCAAGAGAGTCCCAAATGGAGACAGGATGCACGAGTCCTTGCATTCACGCCCCTTCTCACTGTGTGTGTGTGTGTGTGTGTGTGTGTGTGTGTGTGTGTGTGTTGTTCTTTGTTAGTGTTATCTCCAGTGTTGTATGGTGTCCTTCAGTGGCTGGTCCACAGTCCTATTTCTGTTCTGCTGTAGCCTCAGTCCAGCTCTGAAATGGCAGAAAACTGCAAACACAGGCCAACAGCTGCCAAGCCATTAGGTCACACTGCAACAGGGAGGTGATGAACTGGGAGAGAGGGACAGATAGAGAAATAAATGAGGGGATGAGAAGACAGTGAGAGGTGGGTTGGATAGGGAAGGAATAGGGGAGATCACGTATAGAACAAAGCAAAGAAAGGAAAAAAGATAGAGAAAATGGGAGAGGTGAAATTGCAAAAGAGGGGAGTGAGGGATGAAACTGATGTGCAGATAAAGTAGAGAAATGTGGAGGAAGGAGCGCAGGAAAAGAAAAGGCAAAAAAGGAAGAATATAGAACGTGTGGAAGAAAGCAATGAAACAAGAAAAGGGCCATATCAAGCAGGATGAATATACCAGTCCTAGTTTTCTTGTCAGGGATGCTTTTCTGATGCTATTCTGTATCAGAGAGAACATCACGTCACATGAAGTAGCCCGGCACTCAATGTTGCCTTGTTTGCTAATTTTTGTAGTCGTCCAAGCAAATGCTGGCCATGAATACATTATGTCACTCACTCCAAAGCTTTTACAGTCTTCAGTAGAGTTTGACCCAGGGATTTTAACAATGTTGATTCCTGGTAAAGAGCTTAGGAGGCAGACATCAGTGATGCACAGTGAGAAGTGCTTCCCAGTCAATTACTTGCTTTTCTCTGTGGTTTAAGAGGTTTGATATGGAGAGTCGATGTAATCAAACAAAATGCATTTTTGCATTACTTGACTTGCTTTTAATCTGGAGTCCAATCAACAACTGTTAGGAAAGCAGGTTTTGATGCACGAGTGGAGTATATGCTCTTCAATCAAGCCTAATGTGTTATTGTGCACTCCTGCCTCAGGAGAGGAAAGACTAGCATTAAATGAAAGAAAGAAACATTTTAAGGAATGATTTGTTGCGCAATATATCATTCACCACACTAAATGATGTTTTAGTGTGGTGAAACATTTTCACATATAAGATTTTAAACACTCAACCACCAACCTTCATTGATTGAGAGACCCGATGTTTTACTGGGATTCACCCAGAAGAATTACCCTGGGTGATTTTTGATGAATAATTTAGCATGTTTGCAATTTGTATGATATTGAGAGCTAAAACATGAAAACATACTTAAATTTAGGCTTAGACATTGGCTTCAAAGACCGTTGACATTAGAGTCATTTGGTTGCACCAGCTATTTGAGAATCCATCACTAAGATCGTGAGCAAAGTCCTTCCTGCAAGTTCTCAGTAACTCAGTACTTGCTAGTTTCATACTAGTCATTAGCTTAATTGGGTTTCACAGTTAAAACTTAAGGACTGTACTAGCTAGTAAATACTAAATAGTATAAATATAATAAAGCTAAAATAATCAACTATGTAAACAGGATGTCACTCTACCAAAGTTCCAAAAATAACTGTTTTGGAGGTTCAAGAGATATATATTATGCTTGCCAGACAATCCTTTGTAAATGTAGGTATGAATTTGTTTTGTTTATATATGCGTGCATGGAGAAATACCTGATTATCGTGACGTTAACCTAATCAATGTTATTTGGTCATTTAGGCCAATGTTAGTGGCATCATGCTTTATGAATCGGTTCTTGATACCCAACCCTACCTGCAAACTAAGGTTAGTTTTGTCCTTTGATTCAGTTAGCTAGGCAGCAGATATACCTGGTTACTAGGTGTAGATATTTATTCACACCTTATCTCTTATCTTTCTGAATGTTTCAAACTTTGATTGACGGATTAGGGAACAGAGCTTGGGAACAGCTGGTGCAACGTTATGCCGATCTTAAATATTAGTTTGAGTGAAAAACACAGGTTGTATTTACTTGACAGTAGGTGCCAGGAAGCTTATACTTTGGCAGTCAGAGGACAGCTGAGAGGAAGGAAGCAAGACAGCATTGTCATGGCTGCCAAAAAACATCTGCCAAAAATTAGTGGCCCCTGAACAACAGCGGTGCAGCGTGCCAAACTGGCTGTGTTATCATTCAGGGAGTCGAAGGCAGAAAAAGGCAGAGGATGGAGGGATCACAGAGGATGGACTAACCAATTGGGGAGGAGAAAAAGAGAAAAATGCAGTGAGGTAACAGCATGAGAAAGAAAGTCAGAGAGAGCGAAGGGGAGTAAAAGAAAGATTAGTGGTCTCTGATCAGCACTGATGAGCTGCGTGGTGCACAGGCGTCCCAGAGAGACGAAGAGATAAAGGCTAGAGGAGGAGGAGAAACAAAGAGGGAGCAAGGGAAATTAAAGAGAAGGAATTAGACATGATGGCAAAGAGACTGCTCGAGAGGATGTGTGAATGAAATCGCAAGCGAATGAGATCTGTGTTGGGAAAAGCGATTTAGGCCGATGGTGGGTGAAAAGGAAGTGGTGACAAAGGAGTGCGAAAATGGTGATTGCTGTGTGGGAGAGAAGGAGGAAAGCAGAAAGGAAAAGATGTTTATGGTGAGGAGCAGCCATGGAGTGGCTGCCAATATCCTGATGGAACTTTTTGTGTGTGTGCATTTTTGTTTTGGGGGATTGTTTTATGTGTGTGCAGGTGCTGACTTTCTCTTTACACACATGAATGCCCATTTGCCTGTGTGGTTTGACAAACGCTAAAATTGGAACAAGATTTGCATTTTATTTATTTTTTTCGAACTTCTTTGTCAGCCACTGCTTGTATGTGTCATGATTCTCTTTACGACCCACAAAGAGCCATTTTCAAAACCATGATCCAAAAAATGAAAAAAACACACTTAGAATGAATAGACAAAGCATCAAAATATTTTTACTCCAAAGTGACTGGTCTCTGCCTTAGAAAGCACTGATGTTAAAGGAGAGGTTCACTATTGTTCAAGACTCTTGTAAAATAACAGGTTTCCATCCACATAATAAATAAATGGGTTTTTGTAGTCATTCCTCTTGATCATTCTGGCCTTCCTAATGTGCTAATGTGATGGTGGACTAAATCCACAGCTAATCTGAGTTAATTTCAGTTAAGAGTTAGTGTTTTTAGTGTAAAATTCCCTCTGGTATTTCAAATCTATCTTTATTACTTTATTTTAGTAACATATTTTCAAATGTTAAATATACAGTGCATCTCAGACTCGATAATGTCAAGTCAAGATGTTTAATAAAGTAAAGTTTATTATTTTGTGTTACTTTATTTACCTATTTTAGGCTTTACATTTCCTTAAGCACCACAGTCACAATTTGGATTGGAGTTTATTGATTGCTTTACACAACTCTGAGAGATTTTTTTCTGGATTTGCTTTAATATGCTTTCTGGCCTTGCTTATTACCATTTTAATGGATTCCATTAAAACTGAAACACTTCTATGGTAGTTAATGTTTTCAAACAAGATATTTAACAGTGCATTAAGGCTAATTTTAAGTTAGCTGAAGAGTATCTGAACAAAAGTTTACTTGCACAGAAAACTACTAGCTTCACATTTATGGTGTTATTTATCCATTAAGTCTTTTACAGGCAGTTACTTAAAGGGCAAACTGACATACAGAATCAGCTTCTCCCCCGCTTTGTCATTCTTTCAGCTCCATTTGCATCTTCTGTTCTTTCAGCTCCTGCTTTCTTTCTGCTCCCTCCCTCTTTACATTCATCACATAACTTGGACGCTCAGCCAGACAGGAGAGGCTCGCTGTCATCTCTGCTGTCACTTTTGTTTATCACGCCGAGCAGAACTGTATGCGCTTTGGACACCTCACTGTTGTTGGTGACGGACAGTGTAAAAGAAAACAAACCTGGAAAAACACAGAAACTTTTTGTTTTCGGCATAACAAACAGTTAATGTGCAGAAAGCCAGACACAAGACAGACAAAAAGCAAAAACAGTTGGTGGAAGTTTACAAGGTGTTTTGACCAGCCCACACATTGTGACATTTTCCCATCTCTTTTTCCTCTGCCATCTGCTTTAGTTTTTTTGTTCAGCTTGTTTTTGACATATGGACAGCAATGCCTCTGCACCTCTGACCACAGCTCGGCCAGTCTGACTAGATCCTGTCAGTCTGACACACGGCTGTTACCTAACACACACACACACACACACACACACACACACACACACACACACACACACACACAGGCAGAAGCACCTGCATATTTGCACATGAATGCTGGTGAAGTGCATGCATACACATGCACATGGGCACACAGAAAGTAACTAAATATAAAGTCTGTTGTCACATCTAGTTTTTCTGCAGATGAGAAACTGCAGATCTTAACCATACTTTCTCTCTTTCTCTCTAGATGTTACAGCCCCAGTTTAAACCCCACAGCATCAAGCAGGTGCTGCTGAGGTTGTTCCAGGTATTTTATATTACTAATTCATCTTTCCATTACCCTGGTACTTTCAAATCAGCCAAGTCATTACTTCACACTCTTGGGCAAAGGCTGAAGGAACAGATTATCTTTATTAGACATTTTGGTTTTTCAGTGACCCAGCTCATTCCTTTTTAATGTATCTGTATCTTTTTTTTTCATTCTGACTCTGTAGTCACATTAGGCTGTATGTTTCAGTCTGGCTCCCTAAGGTAGATGAGGCTCATGTATTTTTCATGGAGGGTCTCATGAAGAATTCACCCTAGTATTGAAAGCAGGATGTATTTTTACAGTCAGGTCTGAGCTGCAGGTTAGGTTGTGTCATGTCTCTTGCTGTTAGTAATACTAGCGTCCTTTTTTAATTTCCTGTGTAGCTTGAATCCAGTAAGCTTGATTCGATCATGGCTGTCTATCGCAGGTGATTCCAGGAAGGTCGCCGTACGGCTCTTGGGATCCAGGCCGCTGCCTGCGCTGCGCCGTGGTGGGGAACTCAGGAAACCTCCGCGGGGCCGGATATGGGGAGACCATAGACGGGCACAACTACATCATGAGGTGAGAGGCATAGATGCAATAGATAAATGGGCATAGTGAGAGAGACCAGAGAGAGGCTGCAATAGATAGAGCAAGACGGAAAGATGTGGAGCTAGAGGTCGACTGAAACTGAGAGATGAAGAAAGGAGATGGCTGGAGAGAAGAAGGGAAGAGAGAGTTCATGTGTATGCATAGTATATACCCTCAAAGTGACATTGTGTGTGTGTGTGTGTGTGTGTGTGTGTGTGTAAGAGGGAGATGTACTTGCAAAAAACAGCAGATGTGTGTTTCTAATATAAAATGAATCTCAGTGTTTAATGCTGTCATATATTCACCTCTCCTATTGGTTGACAGAGAGGTCACCACAGAGAGCTTTATGTCCTAAGAAGCTGAAACGTATACATTGTTCTCTCACATACACACCCGTGCAGAGAGGCACATAAATCCTTTAAGCTATTCCCTCGGCCGTTTTCGTGCACCGGCGATGAATCACAGAGCCTGATTGTTGTCAGTTGGAAGGAACACACAGCTATATGTTGTTTCCTGCAGCGAGTCTCTGTTGTGGCTACGTGCTTGTGGCTTGAAAGCCTCCACAGGAATGATTTCTTTTTCTGTTCTGTTAATTTCTCAGGGACAGTGCACATTAATACACATTATTGTAAATGCCATAAGTAGTTTTATAGAGGAGACATATATTTGCATGCTTGATCAGGTTTTTCCAGCTCATAAGGTTGTAATTTTCCAGTATGTGACAGTGGTGAAACCTCTGTCCTCTGTCCTCTTTGTTTATATAAAGATTCTAGTGGCCTTGAGGTTGAAGTACTTGCCTGTGAGTAGCTTGTTGAACAGAAGGTTATGTGCGATTTGATCATAGCGTTGATGTACATGTACAGTAGCCTCTGCTGACATGCAATTCTTTATTGCAACATTCTCATATTTTGAATGGATTTTTGATTTCCATGAGCTGTAAGCCATAATCATCAAGATTAAAACATTTATTTTGTTCTTTCTAATGAATCTAGAATATATGAAAATTTCACATATTGAATTAAATTACGGGAAAAACAATTCCGATATTCAAATTTTCTGAGATGCACCTCTATGGTGTCTTAAAGTGTCATCAGAGTACATGAGTCTCTATCTTGGGGGATACAGATGGCAGATCATTAACATATAAGCCAAATAGATTTGGGCCCAATATGGACCCTTGTGGGACTCCAGCGAATGATCGAACCTTCTCTATAAAACTAAGTTGAGTCAATTGCTCTGCAACCCATTTCTCTACTACCTTCGATTCTGCTGGTAGGATGCTGATAGGCCTGTAGTTACAGATGGTTGGAAGACGGTTGCCAGATTTAAAAACTGGTGTTAAAATAGCCATCTTCCAAGCATTCGCGGCGACTCCCTCGGCGAAGGACTGATTTCATATCTTTGTGAGGAGAGAGACTAATGATGCACTTAAAGCATGGCAGAATCCATTACATACACATCCTTTGCTTTTAAGGTTTGAAGAGCATTGATTATTCTTAGCACATCCACCTCAAGAATATCTCTGTGTGGGAGGGTGGTTCTGCAACATGCAAAGAAGGGGATAGTGGCTGCAAGACTGCAACATCCAATGGAGTAGTGTTCATTTGACTCACAGGGAAACTCGGTGGCCACTAAATCGATAATAGTTGAGAGCCTCAGCAATTTTGACAGCCTCCCAGTACGGTCCTACTAAACACCGCCATCACCACCCACCTCCTGACTGTCTGAATGAACATCTGTTTTGTTCACTGACATATGGTTAGGTGCACTCAGTTTCCTTTCTTTTTTCAGGTGCACCTTCCTGTTTACATAAACAGCTCACTCCTCCAGACAGTGAGTCACAGCTACTGTAAATACAGCAAAAGTAGTCTAAAGTACACAGACAGAGCTGAGTGGTGGCAGACAGTGCAGAGCTGAGTAGAGCTAAGCTAAAACTTTGAGGTGAACCTCATGTTAATGTTGGCTAATGTTAGCTAACATTAGCATATTTAAGATAAATATTGCTGTGTAACTGACAGTACAGAGTCATTAGCATTTACACCGGAATCAGTACTTGTGGCGAAAGTGTAACCTGGCTAGAAAGCAACAATTCATCCTTTTGGGCTTTAATGTAAAGCTGACCATATCTGGAAACCCGAACAACATCTTTAATTGTAAAATAATGACATTTGCCCTTCGGGATGTACTCACTTTTGTTGCCAGCGGTTTAGATATTAATTGCTGTGTGATGTCATTTTCAGGGGACAACAAATTAACATGTTATACAAGCACTCACTACTTTACATTGTAGCAAAGTGTCATTTCTTCAGTGTTGTGACATATATATAAATATTATTATAATCAAATATTTACCAAAACTCACATATTGGTAAATATTTGATTATATCTAGCTTTTGTGAGATACTGTATGTACTTTGAAAATACAAAAGTCTAGGTAACACATTCCGACTGTAAAATCCAACACATGACTGGAACTTATAGGCTGCACGGATGTGTGTTGGAGAGAGACACACACAAAGAGGAGTGTTTAACAATTTGATTTTGAAAAAATTAAATGTTAATATGGACGAACTGATTTTAGGAGCTTTAAATGAAATTGGTTAGACAAATGAGATAACGTGTGTGTGCTTGATAATTGTGTGTCATAATAGCCTCCACTGAGGCCCGGCGTTACTAACTTACGCCGCTGATTGGTAGATAAATAAGTCATAGAAATAGAACAGTTTTACATGATGCAGCACTGAGGATGAATTTAGGGGTCTCTGAGTGAAGAAGCTGCTCTGCAGTCTGGTGGTATGACAGCAGACACTATACACAGTCCACCAGACAGTAGCAGGGTGGACAGGCTGTGGCTGCGGTAGGTGTTGTCTTTTAGTATCCTCTGGGCTCTGGGTGCATGGACCCTCACCTCACCGATATCGCTGATGCTTGGTAGATGGGTACCAACGATCCTCTGGGCGGTTTTAATCACCCGCTGCAGAGCCCTCCTGTCTTTTCCGAAAATCAACAATCAGTCACCGACTATGTGCTACCTGTCCCGCGCCAGACTGCAGACAGACACAGTTACCGATTAGCTGGTGATCACAGTGGAGCATTTATCAGCCATATAGTTCCCTCAAGAGTTGGAGGGGCTGGAAGGAGAGTGAATATTGGACTTACATTCGCCAGGTGGCTCACCAATCCAAATTAATGCTAATGTTGGTCTGTGTGTGGGGTCACAAGTTGTTAACACTTTTACCATATCAATTTTAGAAGACTATAATGTAAATTTTGTGTTACAACTTGTTCATTCCAGTAGCCAGAAAATCAATGACAGGTTTAGCACATTGAAATGAAATCGATGAAATGTTCTTATTTCCTAAAATGTTGAACTACTCTTTCAAAAGCCCTTTAGTAACCATTACAGTAACTGCTAAGTCAGCAGGAAATCAGTGAAACAGTTTTGACACCTATTTGACTACAGTTGAAGCTGGAGGCCTCAGACGTTGCTAACTAACAAAGCATGGCCTGAAGACGTACATCCCTCATGGTGTCTCTCTCTTTTGCTTTTAGGATAAACCTGGCCCCCACGGTTGGCTATGAAGTAGACGCCGGCAGCCATACCACTCACCACTTCATGTACCCGGAGAGCGCCAAGAACCTGGCAGCCAACGTCAGCTTCGTCCTGGTTCCCTTCAAAACGCTGGATCTTGTCTGGATCACCAGTGCTCTGTCCACTGGCCAGATTCGATTGTAAGAAGACATGCATACACACACACACACACACACACACACACAGATATGCATAAGCATGGATTGACACACATGTGGGTGCTCAGAAACATAAAATTAATTCTGGGCATATAGAGCACTGAAATGTTAGCATCCGCCGTAAAGACACACACACACACACACACACACAGTAGAGTTGTGAGAAGCCAGTCGCTGGGCTGGAACAATCTGTCAGCTGTCAATCATCCAGAATTCATAGCTGCAGCAATCACATAAAGTGCTGATTGAATGTGTTTAATCAACCTCTTTCTCTCTTTCTGTCTCTCTCTCTCAGTACCTACGCTCCAGTGAAGCAGTTCCTCCGCGTAGATAAAGACAAGGTGTGTATTTTCAGCATTCATTGCAATTACTTATGGCCATTCTGAAACACTCACAGTAATATGCAAACACATGCAGTGACCCCCGCTATGCTGCAATTATATCATCCCCTCCCCATTGTTGATGAAGGATTACAGTTAGATTATAAACCTTCCCTTTGTTTTAAATAATCTTCTGCTCGCTCTTTAATCCCTGAAAATAAATAATGAAACTAATCTCCGCCATGTGAAGACTTTGTGAATATCTTCGACTGGTCAGAGACGCAGTTTTTACAGTGCTTTTGGATCGGGCCCAGAAATATAGATTTACAAGATTTGCTCCTCCACTGCGGAGCTGTAAGCAGCCTAGAGCCCTAGAGTTTGTTGGGACTGAACATCACCTGGAGGCAGATTATAAATTTGTAATGTCTATTCATTGGTTAACAGCACTTTTAATCTTTGACAGCAATCAAAACCTCAGGGAGCATTAACATTTAACTTGGCAAAATCTTTTCTTGTTCGGTTGGACCTTTGCAGCGGCTAGGATGTGCACCAGGTTATCTGTGAAAGCTATAAATCGGAATTCAGAGGAACATGGATTTAACTATACATTAACTAGAAATATTTGGGGGTAAAAAAATCCACATTTTGTGGATCTGAATGTGAGACTGTGGGACAATGCTGAAAAACATGTGGACACTGTTTTCCTTCAGAAAAAACTCAGGAGTTTGATTCTTAGTTAAATTTACAGCAAATAAACAGTATATATTACAGTATTTCCTTTCTCTGCCTCTCTGTCCACCACCCAGGTCCAGATCTTCAACCCAGCATTCTTTAAATACATCCACGACCGTTGGACCAGACATAACGGGCGCTACCCCTCCACTGGCATGCTAGTGCTGTTCTTTGCCCTACATGTCTGTGATGAGGTCAGTTTGCCGTCGGTTTCTCTCTCTCTGCTTTCACATAACAACATACTGTAGATCCTTACATCATGCCGAAACTTGCAACATATTCAACCTGAAGACATGCACATTTGTAATCACACGACCTTTCCAACACTCGCTCTTTGACTCTCCTCTAGGTTAATGTGTTTGGTTTCGGGGCGGACAGCCGGGGAAACTGGCACCACTACTGGGAGCAGAACCGCTACTCCGGAGAGTTCAGGAAGACCGGCGTCCACGACGCTGACTACGAAGCCCAGATCATCCAACGGCTGGCCAAGGCTGGCAAAATCACTGTATTCCCTGGGAAATAACCGGCAAACCACCCTGTGTATCTAATGTTCCAGAAGGCTGCTTACAATGTGTTAATAATCGTTTTCACTTAGCTGCACCAGTTTGGGTTCTCAGTTGAATTAAACCAAACGCTTACAGAAGGTGAGACGAAATGGACATAAAATGGTACCAAAAAATTATATTCCGTTCACTTCCCCTCATATTTGGGAGGTTGTTGACAGCTGATAACTGGGAACGGGGGACATGTAGATCCAAATGTAGTTCTGTTGACTTAGGACTCACTTAAAAGTGGGAGTAGACCCTTCAATTTGACAATAAAGTAATGAGCTAGTTTTCAAGGTTTTACCTCTAAGCCAGCGCAACCACACATATCTTTCTGAGGGCAGCTTCAACTCAGGAGTGAAAAACAAGTGAGGGCCGGGCAGCAGGAACAGTCACCCAGTGACACATCTGGACTCAATCCAGTGGAAATGTTCACCTTGGATGAATGTCTAATCCTCAAACAAAAATACAGTACGCCATGTACTGAAAAGGCCACAGAAAGAGCAGCGCAGGCATCTAGGAGACTATTGTTCTACAGCCATGTGGTGTCTGACGGCAACAAAGTGTGTTAAAAACATACCCTTCTTCATGAGATTGCCACTACGGACACAGACTGTGGAGCTTTCATAAGCCAGTGTGCTGTTCAACATTTTGAGACGGGATGAGTCATTTTCCCTGTCTTACAGAACCCTGGGCCACCTCCTGGAGAAAGAATTGTTCTTTTCAGATCCTATACGAGGCCTCACTTGCCACTTTTCACTGTCATAACTCCCCTTTATGTGAGTTCTGCCTCACAAGACAGTCTTACGAGTACCTTGTCCTATCTATGATGGGTTGTAAAATGGCTGGATATGAGACGATAGGTGATTGCTATGAGTTTATATGGTATGACTGCCCTCTATAACCCCCCCTGGTCCTTACCAGGCAGGCTTAGCAAGGCCTTGACACTTTGCAGCAGACTCCAAGAAACACAGTTCTGCCTTTTGGCCATTGTGACTCAGAAAGATCACTGCAGCACTAGCATGAACTGCAGCTTCTGTAGCGCCAGCTAGTCTGGTTTTGAACACCAGGCCCTGCTACAGTCTTTATACACATCCAGACACAGGGACAAGTGTTCTGGGAGAGCGTTGGTTTGACTGCTTGAGACTCTAATGAGGCCAAAAGTCCATCTCCGGGGATTTCATGTTTGGATGGAGGCATGCTGGTTTCTGGACCGGAGTTTAATCCCCATGTGGTCTGTCAGGATCTAATTTGAGTGGGGAGGACTGAAGAGCTGGGGCATGAAGACCCAGTCTGACAAAGCCAGCATGAGAAACACATAATTTGCTCTAGTGTTTTTAAGGATGTAAGGAAGGTTCGCTGCTGTTTATGTGCAGTAAACTCCCCAACTACACAAACTGTACTGGGTTCACCACTTTGAATTTTCAAAGGACTTATTTTCCCTTTCACAGACCTGAAACTCCAACCTGGCTCGTGTTTCCCAGTGGACTTAGAGACTTCCAGGATCATTTTGCCCCAGATTAAAGCCCATATGATGGGGTGAAAGAAAACCCCACTGGATCTGGGAATTCTTTAACCTGTCAGCATCTTAGCTTCATTAACCACTAGCCCTAGTCCCTGCTCAGACAATTAAAACTGGTGGAGCCACCAGACGCCTTAGACTTCACCTCCGTACCACAGAACCATTCTGATATTCACGATGATGGCATATCTCCCTGCAGACTGCAGATTTTTATTTGTTAGCTTTATGTACTGTTCAGATTTGTTGGGCAGGATTTATACTATTGGCTCAGAATAGATTCTCTTTTCCACCCAGGTGGCACATTAACGTTTTTTTTACTGTGATGTGGTATCATCAAATAATACCCATTTACACATTTATAGCCTCCAAACAAATATCAGTCATGGGAGTGCTGCAGACAGTATTGAAAACAGAAACATCAGTGGAAACATAAAATGTGTACCACAGAGAGGAAGGAAAATATAAGTATTTGGTTTGAGCTGAGGCTGTAAATCCATCCAAAGATGTGTTTATCAAGAAGCAGCTGGTGGCTGATATGTAAGAGTGTTCAGCGTTCCTATGCAGGTCCGGAAAATAGGGAGGAGTAGTAGCTGAATAAGTCTTTCAAGGTGCTAAATTGTATTTTTACTGCCCCTTGACACCAAACTAATGTAGGTATGCAGGGGTTTGAATGATCATTGATCAGCTGAGAGCTTAACTCCCTTTCCAGACTGTACTCTCTTTAGGAACAAATTAGGATTGATGTCAGATGCAGGCTACTTTAAGTGATAGAAGTCAAAAATAGACAAAGATTACTCAAAGCCCCTGAAAACTTGGAAAAAGTACAATAATATTAAATATTCAAATAAGCGACATTCAATGTGTAAGGTACCATGTGGACCACTAGTAGCGCTATATGGAGTTTTTATGTGTGCGTACATCAGAACAAGGAATCACATGCAATCACGCATACTCATTCCTGCCTGTGATTTCACACTATTTCACAGATTTACAGGTGGCAGTAACGTGACAAGAAATTCAGCAATGCTAACGCAAGGCTATAAGGTGAGGTAAAAAAAAAAAAATCCAAAATGGTCAGAAAGAATTTTAATTATCTAAATCTGTGAACTGGGGCCAGCCGCTGCAGCAGATGGTATTTTCATATGAAATAACACCTGTCTGTGTGTGTGTGTGTGTGTGAGAACAGAGCATGTTGTTGCACATCTCTATGAGTCCGTTGTTAAAACTTAAGGGATTTAACCACATGACATTGTGAAGCGAAGCTTTTCAATTTTTTCATGTAGTTTAACTATTTCTCTTGCTGAGAAAGTACGCACAAAATGAGGAGTGTTGGGGTGTTATAGTGCTCCACAGTGAAGAACTGTGCCTCCTATGCTGATATCAGTTCTGTTGGTATATTCTTATATTATCTATGGATGATATTGTGTAAACACATGCGACTCTCATGTATTGCCGTTGTTCTTTATCAGCTTTCAGTGTTTTTATCCTACTTTGCATTAGACAGGTTTTATAGGACACTTCTGGTGTTGAGCTTGGCTCATTTTAAGAGGCAGTGCGAGCAATTCTGGACATATTGTTTGTTTCTGTGTGTCTCTCTCTCTCTGTCACACACTCACGCACACACATTCATGCTTTCGTGCCTTGTCCTGCTGCTGGATGTCACTCACCTACATCTTTTTAGTGTTTCTCACACACACCCACACACACACACACACACACACACACACACACACACACACACACACACACACACACACCTTCTGGCTGAGAGCTGTGCCTTCTGAGCTGTGTATATATACACACACACACACACACACACACACACACACACACACACACACACACATACACCTACATGAAAAAACGCACTCTGCCTTCTGCAACTGTTTTGTACACTGACATTGTTTTTGAGCACTCGCTGTAGGCTAAAGGAGAGGATAGTGATGCAGTGAGACTTGCCGTGAATGCATATTAGGCCATTTGTTACATTTTTATTTTTATTTTTTTAACATATAGTGCATACTTTTGAGGCATTTCTGCTTTTCTAGATAACATTTAGTGTAGAATGGCAGGACAGATGGCAGACAGAGAGGGTCATCCGCTGGTTTTAAGCCCACAGAGTTGCAGGTACCTGTCCTATCTTTCTGTATCTGTTTTGAACTACACAGCGACTGCAGAATAGCAAGTGGCAACGATGACACAGCGTCTAAAGGTTCAGGCATATCAGTGAACTGCCGCTTCAGTGTTTTCTTTCATCTACTGTGGTCCTGTGTTATCGATGTTTGTTTCCCGGGATGCTCCCTCCAACTTCAAAATGAAAGTGTAAATTGTTGTGGAGATAACACGGCTTTCATCACAACATTTCTGGCCTCTCTGGAGGGAGAAGAACACATTCCTATCACATTCTTGCAGCCTGCAGTGGGTAGTAAAGTCATAATGGTCCACTATGCCCCCAAACAAGGCGAGGGCCCTATATAGCATGGAAACTGTTATCAGCTGCCTCACTTTCTCACAGTTGTAGACCAGAGCCTTGTGATCAGATAGAGAGGGAAGCAGGGTGATCCCTCTCTGCTGTGATAGCCCGAATTAGAGTTGAGGTACGGTACATGACACAGATCTGACCGTGTTCCCTGTAGCATCTGTAACCTAAAGTAGGTCTTTTCTCCTGTCGCTGACCCAATACACTGATTCTTTTCCCCCCTCTGGAGTTGATTCTTGAAATAATTGGAAAAAGCACCACTTTTCAGGTCAGTGTCTGTGCCGTGGCTGTGTCAGGAACATAAATCAGGAAATAAAGAGCTGTGTCGGTTGGGAGCATTTTGGGAAACGTGGTCCTTCATTGTGGCTTTTTTGAAAAAACAGGTGACAGTAAGATGTCCAGGGAGCTGCGTGTTTTCTCAGGTGAAATCTGCATGTGTGCTTCAGTCCTCTGATAACAGGGGCAGAAGTCAAATGAAGCTGACTTCCGTGGTGACCTTATGTCACAACTTAAAGTGAACTGATTTCTTTTTAGCATAGTTTTTTATTTATTTATTTTTATTCCAGGCCCTAAATATCCCTGCACTAAAATCATTTTTGTTCTATTTTGCTGTTAGTGGATTCCAGGTTCCTCTCTCACCCAGGACTATTTATATACTGTTGTGTCTCACACAGTATGTGCGCTGAGGCACATTTCAGTAAAGCCACAAACATCCAATTACCGATGCCCTGAAAACTTGTTATCAGGCGTGTGCGACTGCTCAAAGCAGCAGACACAACAACAACAACTGGTGTTTACCACAATTAGCATTTTCCTGGATAGAAAAAGAGGCACATTAAACTCATTAAATACTACTTTTTTTATGTCAGAGGGAGAATATCTGTACAGCATCTCTATCCCTTACATGCAGTCAAAGGAATAGTTTGACATTTTGGGAAATACAATTTTTCTTGCCAGGGTGAGAAGATATAAGGCTACAGCCAAAGACTGGAAACTGCTAGCCAGCTAGTCTCGACAACGTCAAACTATGTTCCTCATTGCTGAGCTAAAGTTAACGCAAAATCAGAAAATGTGTGGTAGTCTGGCAGGGGAAACCAACCTAGGCAGCTGTAACACAAGATAATCTGTGCCAGAGAAAAGGAGATCACAGCTCTTGTGGCTTGAAAAATACTTTAATACCACTCTCATCCCAACCTGTTTCTGTCCAGTTGCTATGGCTGCAGCTTTGTGTCGCTCTGAGGTAATGGAGAATAGCTTTCTGCAGCAGGGACAGAAAGAGCTTTGAGGAACAAATACATCCTGATCAAAACACTGCCAGGCCAGGCTGTTGGCATCATGACATCGGCTGCGCCTGTAGCCAGCGCACAGTGGAGTTTGAGGTGGAGGTGAGGACAGCCGCAGGCAGCTCTTCCCTCATCAGTTCACTGGTCTGCATTGAACAGAAACGGCTCTTTAGCAGCAGTCACTGAGCTGCAAGCTGCACATATCAGACTGTCTCTGTGGATTGTAACGCTAACACTCATACCGCTGTCAGCTATTGTGCTAGTACTCTGCAATCACTACTGCAACACACTGCACTTATTAAGGAGACTAGTGAATATATGTCTGCAGTAACAGCAAACTTGCCGGTGGCTCACTTGAAACAGATACTGTAGGAGAAGAAAAAAAAAAAAGAGTAGCGCAGGGATTTAGAGAGTTCAGTGTTTCAGTTTGGATGGGTGAAATCTTTCCACGTGGGCGATTTCCTGCTGTCTGGATCTGTCATCGTCTAGTCCCCGGCTTTAATGTCTCATTATTCAGTAGGACTACCTTTTGAACAAGGTAGTACATGTGTAGTTACCACATTGAAACATCTGTATGATATGTGATTTGACTCTTTGTATCTTATGCTATTGTAAAAATAAAAGCTTCATGAAACACGACGTTGAAGTCTGACGTTCTGCTTGTAAAGTTATGGCTTCGATTCGCACTGAGCTGCTGAAATAATTTGGTCTGGAATGTAGACAAGAATCAAATCTAGCACTAAGTAAGCATAATATACTGTCATATAAATATAGATATAAGTATAAATTAGATAATGATAATACAGCGATACTATACTATACTTTTTACTCCATTGCATTTATTTTACAGCTTTAGTTACTTTTCAGATTAAGATTTTAAACATAAAACATGTTATCAGTTGTTATCAACACAACAGCATATGTATACATTTGTTAAAATTAGCTCCACCGTGACATTAAAATGGTGTTTACAGATTAATACTAATATTCAATTTATGAGATAAAAGGGACACTAATGAGCACTTTTAATTAGTACATACTTTTACTGAAGGAAGACTTGCATAATTTTTTCGCTTGCCGTTTTTTTCACTCTGAACCCCACCGTACACTTCCTAACCAGTGCCAAATGGCTGAAAAGAAAGATTAATTTTCCTCAACAGTAAACGTGAATATTGGACTCACTGCAGGACATGTAAATAGGCAGCCGTTTGCTATCAAGTTTAACATCACTTATGATGTCAGTGCCCGTTATTTCAGGTTAAGTATGTTTTACACATAATGCTACTTTAGGGTCAACGGCAGGCCTGAGCAAGGTATAAAATACTCCCTCTTTAAACCAACACTTAATAATAGATCGTCCTCGCTAATTCATTTATATCTCAATCATTTTTGTTCAGTGATCCACATCTAATGATTTCAGTCTAACCTTGTGCTGTAATTGATCAAATCTGGGCTCCCTGACATTAATCACCAAAACAAATACAATATCAAGCATTTGAAAAGACCAAGGTAGACACATGGCATTTACCAGTTGCATTTATTCCCATAACGTGACATTTCAATGACATGGAGCAGCTACAATGATTAAAGACATTTTCAACATTCTGCATTAAATCGATATTAAAGGTCAGTGAAATGAAGATCAATTATTGGACACCTTCATGATCTTTTATACAGTTAATGAATTATTAATTTACTAAATCAAACCCGTTCGACTTACAACACATCAGATAACGGCTTGTTATTTGAAAAGCAAGACTATGTTACAGCTCCTGTGTGTACAACCCAAATCCCACCAATCACAGGAAAGAACTCAGGCTTTCGCTCACATAGATGGACGGAGCCATTGCTCAGATCTGATCAAAAGCCTTCAGCCAACAAAGGACATACTGTGTATACTGTACCTAAATCATTTCGGAGCTGGGCTGACTTTTCATTTTTCTTTCCCAGGCTGAACTAAAGTGGTACAGGAAGCCAAAAGTTTAGATCGTGATCACTGCTCTGGGGTTTGTATTTAAATAAACAGGGCTACAGTGAGATCAAACAAACACAGAGGCTGGATGGAAGTTTATCAAAAGCCAACTTCATGCTCAGATCACAAGTCTGAGGTGGAAACTACTGTTTTTGTCGCTTCATCTGAGCTGTACAGTACCTTCAGGAGGCAAAAATCAAATCAAAAGTAGATCCCTTTTCTTTTCCTCTGTACACAAGCATGCAACAATGAAGTGGACACATCTGCCGTCACCTTTCACTTAACTGCACGAAAGGATCTGTCTATATTTATATATTCAAGCAATTTCCACAGAGATGAATTTTTACTGGTCAGCAATCGTAGTCGCAATAAATATGCGAGTGGCTCATTTACTGCTGGCTGTCAGTGGTCATCTGTCAACATGGTGGGAGCGAGAAACCCAGGTGGTTGGTTTGTTTTCTAATGTTTTTTCTGACCCAAAGGGAGAAGAAAGAAGGAAAGGAAATGGAGGAAGGAAAGCACGATGTTTTGGGATTTCTAACTCAGTTAAGTTAACTCCTCAAAAAACACTTTACTTCCACACCTATGTTTTCAACCCCTCTCTCCTCTTATTAGTTCTCTCCCAGTTTGAGCCGTGCAAACTCGTTAGCCAGCTGTAGCGCCTCCTGCAGGCACTGTGTGTTCCTGCCCGTGGCCTGGGCCGACGTGTCCTTGCCGCCTCCTTTGCCGTCCAGCAGGGGGCACACCTCCTGAACCCACTCGCTAGCCTTCAGGCCGCGCTTGGCCACTTCCTGAAGAGAGGAGGGGAGATTAATGTCAGATCTGTTACAGGGCACTGAAAGGCTCCCGGCACACTGACTGAGGGTGGGTGTGTTTAGTGTTACCTGTGGGACTTGACACAGGCAGGTGATCTTGCCGGCGTCGGGGTCCACAGTGAAGAGCATCGCAGCGGTCTGAGGAGAGTGCGACTTCAACAGCTTCAGTGACTCGTTCAGTGCCTGAGAGAGACGGAGCAGAAACAGGAAGGGAAGGAATAAAGTATCCTAATCAGCACTATTGCTGTCTCAAGGTCAGAAGTAATAGGCCACAGAGTTGATTTGGAACCATGGTAATTACACAATGAGATAAACTATGAGGCTTCCTGAGAAAATGTGCAATACTGTGTAGTGGAAAACTGAATTTTAATACTGTTTGCACTTTTCATCAATATTTGTACAGGATGCAGATGAAGTCTTGGGGTTTGGATTATAGATTTCTTCTTTTACTAGGACATGGTTTTCTTTTGGGCCAACATGTCAATTCAGATAATATCAAAATGGGTAGACATGGCTTTGTACAAATTAGGGATCGATCAATATCCCCCCCCCCCCCCCCCCCCCGGACCGATACCGATTATTAGTAACCAATTAGACCAAGGACCGAAATGTGGAACCGATAAACATTTGCTGTAAAATTTTTAATCTTTGTGTCAAATTTTGAACAACACAAACTCCAACACAAAACCTGAAAATGAGGTTACAGTTAATTGTCATGATTAATCTTTATAAATAGTAAATTAAATGAATTAGAGATCCATCACAAAGATGGACTTGACTATGATTGATAATTTATTATATTTGTCTGTACCTGCTGCCATTTATATTGTATTTATTTTAATACTGTCTATGAAGATTCTCAGTCATCCAGGTCATAGTTATCCAACGAACCAGTTGCCCTTGATTTTAACCTAAGAAGAGCACAGACATCAGTATCAGTCCGCCCTCATGTCCTCCTCCCTCTTCTGCTGCTGGTAGAGAGGATCTGGTTTGACTCAACAAAAGCTGAGTTTGCAAGGAGTTGCTAAATTTTAAGGTACGTAGCATCTCAGGTTTAGCTTGTTTATAACTAATAGCCGAGCTAGCACATGTGCTTTTGTAAAACCAAAACACAGCTGTGGTGGATGAAACAGAGCAGATTAAAATATCGCTTGCTGCAGGTTCCTGCATGTTGTACTGATGCAGTATCAGCCTTTTACTGGTACTGCTGGTTTTGCTGCACTTGCTTACAGTAACGGCCGTAGTTATGGTCACCTTTTGTATGATTTCCGCTAACTTGCTCCGCTCAGTGCGTGTATGCGGAGCTCTGCTGAGAGAGGACAGGAGGGGCTGCAGCGTGGGGGCTCGCTAGTTCTATTGGCTACTTCCGCACAATAGTCAGTGTTGATAGGTGAGTACAGACGGAGAGAAACGGCTGCATCAGAGCCAAAGGAGCGCATTTCTTTTATTAATTACTTATTTCGGCTATCTGTTTTTAAAATGACCGATGCAGACTATTGGAAAATGCTGAATATCAGCTCAAATAATTTTATTGGTCGACCCCTAGTACAAATTCTCTCGTATCATTTCAGTCTCTCCACCTGCCCAATAATACACTTACATGTGGTTAAAATTCCTGTATTGACTCACCTTTGCTGAGGCTCCGGTTTCCATCTCCATAATGAGCAGCGGCTTGTTGGGGCTGTTTTCAATCACCTCATTGGTCTTCTCCAGGACTCTCTTCTGGATGTCAGCTTTATAGGAGCGGTCCAGGTCGTCCATGGTCTTCTTAAGGCTCTTCAGGGTTTCCCTCATCTCGTCCTTCTGCCACTGGGAGATCACTGCTGTGCCTATCAGCTGCAGAGAGGAGGGAAATGTTAATACCACAGCACAGAGTTGTCCTATTGGGACGTTCTGGAGTCTTTGTGGCACAAAAATGACCTTTACCTCCGTCATGTCGCCGATCTCTTTCTGAATTTCCTTGTTCGGGGCGGTCTGCTGCTTCACCTTGTCTCCCAACGCGGTCAAAGACTGGTGCAGGGAATCGGCTTTCCTCTGGGCCTGATGAATGGAGGCAGAGAGGCATGTGTGAGACAAGGGCAAAGAGCAGGGAGAGATGAAGAAAGGAAAAGAAGCAGAGCGGTGGAAGCAAGAAGGGAGAGGAAAAGATAAAGGAGGATCAAACAGAATGAAATTGTTGTCTAAAAATAGTAAAGATTAATTTGTCCTCAGGACCCGGAGGGGGGGGCGAGATGCTAAATGATCCTCTCTAGCTCCAAGGTCACCACAAGTCAAAAACATGCTTCATTAAAGTTTCATCACCGGGGACACAGAAAAGACACACAGTCCCTCAGTCTGAGACACATTTTCATTTTAATCAGTAGAGTTTTTCTGTCATGAATGTCAACAAAACCATCATGACTATTTGAGCATCAACCCTCCACAATAAGTAATCATGTGATCTCAGACAAACACACACTGAAGGAATATTACATCTACTTTCTTTAAGATGTTGGCAGGACTATTTTCTATGCAAGTGTGGGTGGATGTGCAAGTATGAGCATAAGGCTGGAAGCAAGTGTGTGTGTGTGTGTGTGTGTGTGTGTGTGTGTGTGTGTGTGTGTGTGTGTGTCTCTCTCTCTCTCTCTCTCTCTCTCTCCCCTGACCTTCTGGGCCTCTGTTCCTGTCACAGCAACAATGCGGCGGATGCCCTTAGCGATGGCCTCCTCTGAGACGATGACAAATGGCGCGGCGTGACCCGAGTTCTGCAGATGGCTGCAGATAACAAAAACCAACAGCACATTACCAACTGTGTTACACAACTGTGGGAGGCAGCCGAGAGGGAGCGCCGTGAGGCGAAAGAGAAACAAGAG